GTTCGAATAATAAGTTATAAACTGTTCTCTGAGATGATCGATAGATGATTATCTTTGGTAAATTCTTCGATGGGTTAAACAGAAAAATCAATAACCCTCAATGTCGTGGGTCAATTTAAAATATTATTGCTAATCATTTTGTAACTTTCTAAAAAATTCAAGTAAACATTATATAAATTTTGTGAATAATTCTAAAATTTTGCCAAAAAAATGTTTTATTAAAATTTGCTATATTTTTTGGTATATTTTTTAGTTTTTATACGTTCTTTATTAAAAATATAGATAAATCACTAAATAATATAAATAAATTTAGTTAATTTTTTTGAACAACTGACTTCCAAATTAAACTGGATTATTTAATTCTCTTTTTTAAAATTCCATCCGTTGTAGGAAATAGAGTAATTAATCTAATTCCTCAATTCGTCAAACTTTGTTTGTTTTTCTTCTATCTCAAACATTTTTCTTTTATTGACAAATGATGTGATCAGTCGACCCTTCAGTTAATTTCCATTTAAATTTAGCAACATGAAAATTAGCTAATTTATATTTGCATTTGTTTGTGATTGAATTGAAATCGAGTCACAGATCAGAGAACAAACATTAAATGCTTTAAAAATGGTACAAAAATTTCCAGACATATCTGAATGTTAAAACAATCTTTGATTTGGCTATCGTTGATACAATCTGTAATTATTAAAGCTTTTTTGAATAGTAAAACAAATTTTATTTTTCCAGCTAAATTGAAAAAGAAAACTATTTTATCGATCAATTTATTTTTCTGTAAAATTATATCAATGCTTTGTTCTATTTTATAAAGTTATCTTTTTCTCCTTCTCTTAATTAGACTAATTAATTTGTTAGCAATTCTGAATACCTCATATAAACGATGAACTTTTGTGAAATAAAATTATATTTGGTGAAAGATGGTTTTCTTAAATAAATTATAAATTTCTATAAAATTTTTTGCTTACGTATATTTATTAGAGGTAAAAGAATCCTAAAAAATAGTAAATTTAATTCAATTCTGATAATAATTGTTAATATCCTCCAAAAAAAATTAGCAAATTTTTAACACCGATGTCCTTCACTTCAATTTGTGATACAATGGCATTAATAATGACTGTGATGAAAGAGGAAGGATGGATGGATGGTAAGAATAGATGTAAAATTTTGAAGATACATTGAGAGAGAGAGAGAGAAAGAGAGAGAAGTATACCAAAGGTATATTGGGAGAGAGAGGTATACCAATGGTATAATTGAGAGAGCTATACCGAAGGTATATTGAGAGAGAGGTATATTATAGAACAGAGATTGAGATTTAAAATAACGAACGAATTGCCATTTTAGAGAAATTTCCCAATTTCCATTCAATAACCAAGTTAAAAATACACTATTTTCATTCAAAAAGTTATTCATTTACCGACCCAGTTCAGTTCAATTTATTTTCAGTGTTGTAAAATTTGGTACAATTAGTGATATTTTAAAATGATTATAAAGTAATGATAGTTATTATTGGTAAGGATAATATTTTTAATTTAATTATTGAATGCTTATTTTAAACATCGTTTTCCCATATAAAATTGCCATTTTGAAGTATAATTTCATCTAAAACAAAAATTCCAGCATTGAAATGGATTTTTGTCGAAGTAGTAGAAGTTTATTCCAAAAATGTAAATGTCATCATGAAATTGAAAGGCAGATGATTTATATCAGAGAGGATATGATGAAGGCACATTTGGAAGTGAAAAATCAACTCATTCACAGTTTAGAAAATATCATCGATGAACAGGAAGGACGAATTCGAAATATGGATGATTATATTAATGGTAAGTTTAAAAATTATGATTAACATATTTTAAAATCATTAAAGGAATTGTATAACAAAATGTATTAATGCAGAATGACAATTTTAATTTTGTTAACAATCAATAATTGAAAAACATGAAAGAATCATATAAAATGTTTGAAAAATGATTTGACGTTGGCGCAATTCAAGTAAATAATATATGAAATACTTATAAGGTTTTATTAAAAAAGCAAAAAAGTTTTTTATTTTTAATATAAAATTAGCATATTTTAGGTCGAATTCAATCATTTAGTGTTCGGAATAAAATTCTCAAAGGTATTTCACTGCTTTCACTTGAATTCGGTACTTTAAGCGAGGAAAATTTAGCACTCAAAGAAGCACTTGTCAACGCACAACGTTCAATACGTCTATTGCAATTGAAAATGGAAGATCCATTATTAGATAAGGTTGAATTTAGTATTGAAATTAAAAAGATAAATTGAAATTTTAATTTATAAAAAAGCGTAAATTAACATCAATTGAAAATTAAAAAAATCATAGTTTGATGATCTAGCAAGCACTAAATTCATAATCCATTTAAATAACAATTTAGGATTTTGACATCTGTTACATTTCAGTTGTTAACGACGTTTTATTTTTAAATTTTTAAATATTTAAAGGTATAAATTAGAAGTTTTTAAAATTATTGAAACTTTCCATGTTATTATAATATCATTTATTATGCATCAATTCTTTTTTTTAAAGGCACCAGAAAAAATCGATAAAGTGTGTCAAACAAATGAAACAAAACAGGATCATCATTTTGATTTATGCCATCTACATATTGTAAAAAAACAGGAAGAATTGAAAATGCAAATTTTTCATGAGAAAAATAACAATCATGGATTGCTGTATGATCAGGAGACAATTGCAACATTGCAGAAAAGTGTAAAACAATTAATGGAAGCAAAGGTTTTTCTTTCAGCTTAATATTTAAGATTTTAATAAATTATATTTGAAATAAATTTTATGCTTCCAAGGAAGAAATTTAGAAAAAAATTAACTCTTTTAAAAATTAAAATAATCTAAAATAAACAATAATTTTTTTTTCATTATGACAAGTTAGTTACATCCAATTATATTTTATTTAATTAATGATTTTTTCATTTATTAATGATAGAAAAATTGAAATTTTTAGATTGAACTAAAGAAATTGATAAGTGATATTCAAATAGCAACACGTGAAGAATTATATGTAATACGTAAAGATATGGAAATACGAATTGGTTGCGTCATTAAATCACTGATAAGACGATATCAGAAGGAAATTGATGCTAGAAAGCGATTACATAATAAACTGGTCGAGATGAATGGTAATTTATCAGCAGTGATATTTCATTAAATATATTATAGCAAAATTTAATGTGATAAAAATCAAAAAAAATTTTACATATTAATTATTATTGTTTACTTTTTTAAGGTAACATTCGTGTATTTTGTCGTATACGACCAGCGTTAGATAAACATTCCAAATTATCATTACTGATTGATTCAATTGATAATGGTCTAATTACTGTTGAGAGTATCAATGGCGATCGAAAGAAATTTAATTGCGATCGAGCTTTTACTGAAAAGCATACACAATCTGATGTAATAATAATTGCTTCATAGCTCTTAAAATCTTATCCATTTTAAATTTAACATAAATAATCCCAATATAAATTTCAATATCTAAATTAAGATTCATTTCGCATTTTTTAAAATACTAACATTAATTTTTGTTTTAATTAGATCTTAATTTCTTTAATGTTAAAATAATTTATGATTCAAATATATGCTAATTTCTTCTCCTCTTCTTCTTGTTTAATCAATCTAATTTTTCATCAAATTAATTTTCACATAAAAATTGACAACATTCCCTTCTTTTTTCTTTATTATAAAAGTAAATCAAAAATAAAAGAGGTAAAATTGAATGAGCAAAGAAAAAAAAGAAAGAAAAAGAAATAAAATTAGCAATCATATAAATAGAAATTACCAAACGAACAAATATATATTTGCAGATCTTTGAGGAAATTTGTCCAATTATAACAAGTTGCATGGATGGTTATAATGTATGCATATTTGCATATGGACATACCGGAAGTGGTAAAACGTATACCATGGAGGTTCGTTGATCAATTGAACTCGAAAAAGAATAAAACGAAAACGCAATTTTATACTGATTGATAACTTTTATACTGAATTTTACACTGATTGGTATCATATGTGCTTTTAATTTATTCATCTTTAAATAGTTTTTATTTAATTTAAATCAAAAAAGTTAACCAATGAAATGATATTTATTGGTTACGTTTAATAAGGCCAATTTTAAAATTGAATTGTTTCTTTAAATTAATTAGAATTTAAAAATATTTTTTTTTTTGAAAAAAGGATTAAATTTGAATAAAAATTGGCAATTTTAGGGATTACCAAGTGATCCTGGTGTATATCAACGATCTTTAATGCATTTATTTCGAATAGCAAAAGAACGCTTAAATGATATTGATTATATAATTTCAATTTCAATGTTAGAAATATATAATGAGAAAATAAGGTATATGTTGACTAGTGTTGTAACAGCAATTCGTTCAGTTTACAGTCCAATTCGAGAAAAATAATCGTTTCACAATTTTTTCAAGGAAACCAACTTTATAGAAGATAATTTTATTCCTTCGAAATTGAGATTTTTATTATATATTTCTAGAGATTTATTATCAAATGATAAGAATAATCTTCCAATACGAATCGGCAATGATGGTATGCTGGATATACCGGGTTTACGTGTACTTAACGTAAATACGTTAGAAGAAGTACAAGAAATATTGGAGAAAGGGCGGATGAATCGAGTAAGTAATTAATTAATTAACTTTACATTGTCAACTTTTCATTTCTGATCGTTTATTGAACTAAATTAAAAGTAATAGACGACTGTTCGAAATGTATGAGTAATTCAATCTTCAAGAATAATTCAGGTAAGTGCGACAACTGATTTAAATGATCGTTCAAGCCGTTCACATGCCGTTGTTTGTGTTCGAGTTCGAGCAATGAATCGTACAACAAATGCTGTTTCAGAAAGTAAGTATCAAAAAAGAAAAAAAATTTATCAAAAATACAAAGGTCACTTTCAGATGAAACTTAACCATTGAAAATTTGAATGAACTTTTAAATTATTCAAATATTAAAACAAATCAAACAATAGCTGTTTTTAATCCACAAATATCAAAAAATACCTGTTGATCGCATTGTATGTTTGGTTTTAGTAAGAATGTAGATAAATAATAAATATTTCGGTCGATAACTTTTTAACTGTATCTTAACAATGATTATCGATAGAATTTCAAATTGTAAACGAAATAGAAATACCATGAAATTTCCATGATTTTTTATTACTTCATAAATGCATCCATAACTTTCAGGTCGATTAAATTTGGTTGATCTGGCCGGATCAGAACGAGTGAGCCAATCAGGTGCAACAGGTCAACAGCTTAAAGAGGCACAATGCATTAATAGGTCATTATCCGAATTAAGTAACGTTGTCAGTGCCTTACGACAACGACAGCAACATATTCCGTTCCGAAATTGTCAACTAACTCGCCTACTTGAGAACTGTTTGAGTAAGTAGTTTGCAACTGACTGATTTTTTAATTGAATTTCAAATAGGCTATTCTTTTTTTGCTTTATGATTTATCTATTAGTCTGTCTGAATTCATATGAGCGAGTCGTAAAATTTTTTAAAAATTAGTAACAAGAATTTGTGCTATCTTCAGATGGAGATAGTAAGACGTTTGTGATTGTGCAATTAGTGCCAGATGCAAGTGCAATCCAGGAAACCGTTAGTAGTTTGAATTTTGCCGATAAACTAAGTAAAGTGCAGAAGCGAAGCCTAAATTCTAAAGTGTCACAAGTTGACAATGGACCCTTATCAACAACATCCAAACATGGAAGGTAGCATAATTTTAATAAGTTTAAAAATTTTCACAAACTTTTGAAATTGTATAATTTATTTTAATTCATTAACGAAATGACTTGAAATAATCATGCACGGCTCCTACTAATATTTCAATAATATTGATGATTATTGTAATAGGATTAATTCGTTTGCTCTTACCTTTCACAATTACTCAAAATTCGAAATCAATTTATCGAATTTGAAATTAAAGTCTTTTCAATTTTGGCAAAGATTTGTACGAAAGTAACGTTCTTTTGTTAGTGTACGTTTTCATGTAAAATATTCCAGGCCACATCTAGAACCAGGCTTTTTACGTTCAATGAGCGTACGTATAAAGAAGTGAATATAATTGAATGATGTCGTAAAAAGAATGTGTTATTTCTTAATTGTATTTGAAAATTGATAAAAATAAAATTTTTCTAGTGCTTTTTTGTTTTCTTCAAACACACAATTAAACTCAATTGTACGAAAGAATTACTTTGAAGCAAACAACTTTCAAAATCTTAGCTAATTTGAATAATAACTCATTTGAAACCATTTGGCAATTAGGCGAACTTTTAAAATTATGTAAAAAACTTTACACTAATTACACTGGTTGCTTAATTAGCTTTGGGTTTCCTAGAGTTTTTTTTAGAGTTTTTTTCACTTTTAATTAAATCGATGCTACTTTTTTTTAAGTGATACACAATTCAAGTTATTGGAGTCATTGTTGTTTGGTCTTCAAAAAGAGTGGAAATTTCTTATCAGATTTAATCAATAATTTATTTCAAGAATATAATATGATATACTAATTTATTGCACAACAATTTATCTGTTACCAAATTAATCAATACTTTATTTCATAGCATATAATACATAGGCAAAGATTACATTACCATGGTAACCAAATGGAAGTATTTTAATCTTTAAAAATATATTAATTGATCTTAAATTTATCATTATTACTTATAGCAACTAGGAATGTAGGTAATTTTGCTAGAAAATATGAAAATATCTATTTTATTTAGACATTTTATTTGCTAAATGTTTTTTTCTTCAAATTAAATGTTACGCTGATAAATATAATGAAATGCTGAATAATATCATTTCAAAAAGAAAATTTTTAATTTCAGTATGGAAAAGGATACAAATAACAGTAAATGGGTATCAGCTCTAAATTCGTCATCTGTTGGCCTCAATACTCTTCCAAGTTGTGTATGCCTGACAGATCTTTATGGTGATGGTGATTTTAAATTAGTTATTGGTGATTTTGGTACTGAAAAATATGACATTCGATTGAAAGTATTTCGAGGCATACAATTGATTGGTGAAAATGTTCTCAGTGATTTACCATCTGCTATAGTATCATTTAATAATGAAAATGTAAGTAAGTATCATTTTGATCTATAAAGGCTTGAAACTTGTGAAATTAAATTAGGCCTATACTGTCATATTTATTTCGAATATATTTTGATATGTTTTGAATTAATTAAATCTGTAAAAAAATATTCATTATAGGTGCAGCCTAATTTATCATCTTTAGCAGTTGCTTGTGGTCCATCAATTCTAATTTATAAGAATTTAAAACCATTTTACAAATTCACACCACCGTCATTGGAAATAAACGATGATGAAGCAGAAGCATGGCGACATGTTGAAGCAGGTCATATTAATGCAGCACAACTTCATGCAGTACTTGTAAAACTATTTCAAAAGGTTGAAATTTTTATCGTTTCGTTTAAACGAAAAAAAGAAAAATTTTGTTAAAACCCACTTTTTTGACAACATTTTATTTTAATTAAATCGTAAAATTTTCAAAAATTTAAGCAATCATTTTTGGGTTTTTTTTACTATCCTATTAATTATAAAAGAAGAATAAAATTACTGATAAGAGCAAATTGATATAAGTAAGACTTATTTTAGATTGGTGCTATGGAATTGACAACTCGTTCACAAGCATTTTTATGTAGCAAAGAGAATGATCGAGAAAATATACTTCAGCAATGTTTGCATAGCAAATTGGTTCATCGAAGTACCATAACCTGTATGACAACAATGAAACGGTCATCTGCTGAGCTTAGCGCTATTGATTGTATCATTTGCGCCACCGAATATGGCTATGTTTATTGCATTGATACACAAGCATTTACCATTTTGGCGCAATGTAAAATATCGGGAATTCCCGTCTTTTTATATGCTGCAGGTCAAATATCAATATGCAAAAATGGATTTGGAAAGACAAAAAAAAAAGAAAAAACTAATTCATTTAATTTTCGAAAATTGCATCATTGATTAATATGTTAAATGAAATATTTAAATAAAATTACAATATATCCCGTTACAGGTTTATATGATGTGGATTATCGAATATTTGTGAGTACAAGAGATGGTGAAATTTTTAGTATTAAACGAGATGTGAAAATAGTATCGAATCCAATTATCACTATGACAACTGATATTCTCGGTATGATACGCGTTGGCAAACAGGTCAATAATCAATGATAAAACATTAATGAATAATTTTGTTTGTTAGAAATTTTTTCAAAATTCATCTGATTGATCACTTCAAAAAAAAAATAAATAAATAAAGGTGAAAATTAGTCGGAAAAAATTTTCTCCAAAAATTTTCCTTAGCAATAATTGTTAAACATGCAATTTTACTTGTGAATTGATCATGATATAAACCAGTTCTTGTATGACCTGACTATGGTACTACCACTGTGAATAACCTGGTTGTGATATAGGCTAGTTCTTGTATGACCTAACTATGGTACTATCGCTATAGATGACTGGGTTGTGATATATGCTAGTTCTTGCATGGCTTAACAATGGTGCTACCACCATGGATGAATGGATTGTGACATAGGCTAGTTCTTGTATGGTCTGACAATGGTACTACCACTATGGAACCAGTTCTTGTATGGCCTGACAGTGGTACTACCACTATGGATGACCTGGTTGTGATATAGGCTAATTCTTGTATGACCTGTCTACGGTACCATTATGGATGACCTAGTTGTGATATGTCTTATTACTTGTATAATTTGATTATAGTACTATCATTACATTGGTTATTTATGGTTAATAATATTATCTCAACGATTACAAAATATCAATAATGAATGGATTTAATTTTATTTTCATGCCATTCGTAACTTGAAAACTGATATTTTCTGAAATGATTATAGTTTACTGTTTCTGTTTTTTAACCTGAGTGAAAACTTGAAATGATTGTGCAATAAGTATATGGCTAATTTAGTATTGTTGAATTTTAGTTGGTGATAGCATGTACCGATCAGAGGATATCATTTTTTGCTGCAAATGGAAAATGCCAAAATAAAATAAAACTGAATGAAAGTATACGCTGTATCGATACTTTCACTTATGAACCTAAACAATATGTTGCTTTATTGGTTGCCTTGGATAGAGAGGTCACTAATTTTATTTTAATTAGAAATACTTAATTTCAAAATTTACAATTAAACTATAATTTAAGATCATTTTAAAAAAGAGTAATTGTCAAAGTTGAAATTTTAGAAGTAGAAAAAAATCATCTTCCATCATTTCTTCATTATTTCATTTATTGAGGAGCTTTTCAAATATTTAGTTTGTTTGTTTTACATAAATGCTTAAAATTTATTTCTATGCAAAATTTATTTATTTCAAAAAATATTGTAGGTGAGAATTTATAATGAAACAACGTTAGTGGATCAGCAAACAATTGATCAATCAATAAATTGGATCAAATATGGACAGTTTGGGCATGAAGAAGGCGCACTAATTATTGGGACAATGTGTAAGGATGGAAATGACATCTTACTCTTACCTTAGCTTGTTTATTTTTTCATTTGTCAATTAATTAATTTATTTATTTTTATAACTCTCATTTACATCGCTAAAAGATATACAATGCTGTGATTA